CCATTTTTCTCTCCTTTCTGTGTATGCTTCTTGCATGCTCCTGCTTGAGGTTAGGCAGGGCCACGAGACTAATTCTGTTCCGTGACCAGCAGAAGTGCCAGGATTCACTTCTGGGCGGGTGCCTGGCTCTCTCCAGCTTTTTCTGCTGCTGTGGCAGTCACTTAGGTAGCTACAAGACGTGGATTCGGAACCCCTGAGCGATTCTGTGGAGAACAGATCTTCATAGGAATCATGTGCAGGCTAAGCCTTTGTTATGTTCCGTTAAGGCACAGAGACTTTGGGGTTGTTTGCTCCCTGGGTAGATCCTAATCTATTCTGACTAAATGCTCCCACCCGCTGATGAGCTCTTTCAAGTTCAGGCCCCTGGGCCAGTTATTGGGCCCAGCACAGGGGCGATCAGCAAATGCTAAAAACAAAACCTGATAGACAAAAGAGTAATGCACATTGATGAGTAAGTATTACCAGTGCTTTTTCCTTCAGCTGGAATCCCTCAGCTCTTCAGTAATGGACTCCAGTGGGCCCTGGGCCTGGCCACCTTGGCCGGCTTGTTCACTGCCAATGGGTGGGTTTCCTTCTACCCCCAAGGTCCTCTCTGCGGTGGGGGAGGTAATGCTGCCCTTTTCCACATAGGAAAAAAACACACCAGTTTCTTTCCATGGGATGCAAACAATCTGGAGGAAGGACATGATTTAGGAAAACTCTAGCCCCCCACCATGTTGAGCAATCGGGGTCTTTGCCCATCCAAGCCCCCCAGTGTGGCTCACACAAAACAGAGAGAGATCCTCACAGCTGTGCTCTGAGTATGGTCAAAGATACGGACCAAAACATTCCCTTCCTCACAGGGTCAGGAAGACACTGCTTGGATCCATTTCCTTAGACCAGGGATTATCAAACACGGCATGTATCTGTATCACCTGGAGGGCTTGTGCAAGCAGTTTGTCAGCGCTCACCTCCAGAGTTTGAGACACAGTGCATCCGGGGTGGGGTCTGAGAATTTGCATTTCTAGTAAGTTCCCACATGATGCTGCCGCTGCTGATCCATCCCTTAGACTGTGATGCTCGGTCTCTCAAAGCCAAGCTTAAGTGTGATACCTTGAGAGTAACACTATAACCTGCTACCATCCATTAACTGTAGAGGATGCATGCCTTCTTTCAGATTACCCAGATCGGGAAGACGGAAAGGTAAGTTTCAGGGAGGGGAGGGCCTGGGAAAGAATCCAGAGTGAGGGTTGCTGCCCAGAGGGGAGGGCAGACATGTATCATACAGGAAGGTCCCGGGATGAGAGCCAGAAGGAACCTGGGGCCCATCTGGGTGCAGAGGTGGCCAGGGAAAACATGTTTGAGAGCTAGTCATTGGGAAGTAAAAAGAGCACTGGACTTTGAGTCCGGAAACTTGCAGTCCTCTCCCATAGGGCCTTGCAGCTGCTGGCCGCCACCAGGGTGAGCCACTCTGGAGGCAGCGGAGGCCGATCTCTAACATCTCCCACTGGTAGAGCCCACCCAGTTTCTGGGTGGGTCAGCCCTGCCCAGGCCCCTGTGCCCAGCGCACCATCTGCACCAGGCCTGAGACCCAGCGTGGGAAACCTCCAGACAGTGCAAAGTGCTCTGCCATCTTCTTACCCGCGCTCCTGGCAGGGTTGTGCTGTGCCAAGGGTTAGCGTGGGTGGCCGTGACTCACTCAGCCTCGTGGGGAAGCAGATGCTGCCAGCGCTGCCACGGAAACAGGCTAAATCAATCCCAGTCCCCGTAGGGGGCAGAGAACAAGCTGCCTGCAGCCAGTGAGTCGGGGCCACTCTGGTTCCGTTGTGGGTGCAGCCGGGGAACCAGCAAGCACAGCCTGTACTGTGCTGGCCACGGTTCTGCCCCGGGAGCTGGGCTGGGGGCAGCGGCAACAGAAGCTGGTGCAGGGATTGGAGCATGTGACCAGGGGCAGACGGGAGGCTGTGTGTGCTGGGGGCACAGACTGTGGGATGTTTGTGCTTATTGCAGAGGGCGGGGAGATGAGACTCTCACTCTTGACTCTCTTCCTGCACTTTTTGGAAAGGTCTAACTCCTCTGAAGCTGCTCCCTTACTAGACGATGTGGAGCTGCCCTCCCTCTCAGCTGGCCAGAAATATTACCACCCCCCACCCACTGAGAAGGGGAAACTGAGGCCAGAGGTTGCAATGACCTAAGCAAAGTCCCACAGCTTTCAGAGGCAAGTCAGGCTGGGCTCCAGGTATCCTGAACACTGGATCTTCATTGTTTCCACTGGACACTGCCTCCCTAGGAAACAATTTGCTGGGCCTTGGGCAGTTTGCTTTGTCATGAATATCTGCTCTTCAAAGCAGTGGGTAGTGCCGTTAATAACACACTCTGCTTTTCCTAAGAGCAGCAGTGAGTCTCCAGCCAGCTCTCCCCACCTTCATCAGCTCCTAAGCTGGGCCAGTGAGTTTTCACCAGCTCTACCAACCAGCCAGTGGAAATCCCGAGTTTCCTGTTTGCCCAATATCCTATCATTACCGAGTTAGGAACAGAGCCAGAGCTGGGTGTCCTGCGTTTGCAGACCAGCCTCCCCCATCCCCTACATGGGGGTAGGGGGAAAGTCCTACCTGGTGATTCTCGTGCCATTTCCCCAGGTGCCCCCTTTCTATTCCCAGCGGAGGCTCACAACTGGGTGTGGTGGCACCCGCACATCTTTATGCCCAGAGGCCCCTCAGCCCCACCACAGCCACTTCCCCCTTCCCCAAGCCCCCCGCTGCGGTGGGGTGTGGCTGGGAGCAACCTTCCCCTTCCCCTTCGTGGTGGCGTAAAGGCCTTTGCCTGCCCTCCCTGTGTCTTTGATCCATCGTGTCCTTTCTCCCAATTGCTCAACTTCGGCCTTTCTGTGAGCTCCTCCTCAGTCTGTAAACATGTTTCTTTCTCTCTCAGGAGAAAGCAATGAAAGGAGCAGGTTACTCTCCTTCCGTAACCAAAGAGCTGCTTCTTAAAGTGGCCTGAGGTTGCTCTTTCCCCTTTCCTACCCCCGGAGAGCTCCAAGCGTCTCCCTGGGAAGCCCCGCTCTTCCTCCTCAGCGCTGGCTGCCCCGCCCCCTGCTGGTGTTTCCCCCTCCCGCCCCGCCCCACCCCGGCCGTGGTCACATCAACACCTGAGGTGGTCTCTGATATCCCCAACCTGTCTGGACCTCAGGGCACCAGAGGGGGCTGGGGTCCTCCCACCCTTGCCACCAGGCATCTTCTCTCCATCAGGCAGTTAGACTTGTGCTCAGCCTTCCGGACCCATCCCCTTGAGCTCCAGCCTTTGCCCTCCCTACCCACCCTGCCCCCAAACTGGGCTCTCCACCAGTCTATAGGACCCGCTAAAAAAGGGGATATCTGTTATCCCCTTCATCTCTTCCAACTTTTTCCCTACCAAAAATATTGTATCCTCCCCAAGTTAAAGGAGACAATCTCCCCTGCTTGGGAGAGAGACAGGCAGGGACTGGAGGGTGTGTAGGGTGGGGAGGAGAGCAGGGGGCTCCTGCAGGGGGTGCTGGGAGCAGGAGCCTACGGCCAACAGGGCCCTTCTGCACCGGGTCAATTCTTACGGAACGGAGCAGAATCCTAAAAAAAAGAGACCACTACAGAGTAGAAGGAGAGGGTCTCATTCTGTCTTGGAGCTGAAGGGCAGGCTTTGAAAGAGGTGGGAAAAAATGTTTCCTTTGATCATAGTCTAAGAACCACCTGGAAGGCCGGGGGGACTCGTCTCTTCCCAGCTTTGCCGGGTCAGATGTCCTGTAGGGCACCACGCCTCCCTGCCTGAGCACCTGCAGCACAACGGGCCGAATGGCCTGCCCCACCGCCGCACTCCTCTCTGTGCCACTCTGCAGGGCGGGGAGGTGGCTCCCACTGGAGTCAGCCCGCTGAGGCCCAAGGCAGAAAGGGCCTGTGCCTTCCATCAATGCACTTTGCGGACTCTGAAGCTCTCGACTCAAGGTGCCCCTGAAAATGGCAAGGCAATTCTCTGACACCAGAAACCAGGCCATCGGCTGGCTCTCCCTGGCTCTCAGAACCCAACTCCCATCCCAGGAGAAGACTTGGCCAGGCTTCTGGAAATGGCACAGAAAACCCAACACACTGAGCAGCCCCATACAGATTCTTTCCAAAGCCCCTCCGCATCCACCAAAATGCAGACTGTTACATTTCAGAGGGGACAGTCCTGCTCGCTCAGGCAGGACTACTATCAGATGACCCACAAGTGAGGCTTGACAAGTTCCCAGAGCAGAAGTTTCCCTGGGGGACTAGGAATCTATAGAAGGGACTTTGGGAAATGGAAAGGTCCTCCTGATTTTGATCTGAAATCTGCCTCCCTGTAACTTCCACCCACCTGATTCCGCTCACTGGTCCTTGGAAGAAAATGTCTCATCACGCATCGAATTGGTCTTATGGTAGGTAGCTAGAGGAGGCGAGGATGGGCCTGTTTGCCTCTTTTCTAGAATGAGAATGCCTCTGGAAGCCAAGGGAGTTGCGAAAAAGCTACAGGGGGAGCTGGAGAGAGAATGCAAGTGTCTCCACTCTTCAGGCCAGTCCTTCCATTAACCTGCGGTTCTTCATCCTTGCCAGGTTTTTCTGAGCACCTACCACACACACCTGGAATGCTGGAAGCCTAGGACCCCCTCGCCCCTTTCCAGAGAGTCCTCAGTTCCAGCTTGTCCAGTGTGTACACACACACACATACACACACAAAGATTCACAGCACATGCTCAGCCAGCAGCCGGGGTGGCTCATCTTCACCCAGGAAGGTCAGTCTGGAAAACCAGGTTTCTTCCTCACTTTCAGCTGCACACACACACCCCTCCCCCCCACCACAGGCCAACAGGCAGGAAAGGGACCATGTGGAGAAGCTGCTCTTAATCAAAGAGAAGGGCCTGAACTTGAAGAAGAAAGGCCTGGAGAAGAGTTTGGGAATGACAGCCGTCAGCGCTGGGCTTGGAAAGACGGCAGAGAGAGAGCTCGTGGGTGTGTGGGTGGGAGGGTGCTCACCGGTGCCAAGGCTGAGTCGTGTGGCAGCAGGGAAGGCGGGGAGCAGGGCCCTGAGTGGTGCCAGAGCTGCAAACCAGAACCGCCAGGCCTGGTCTCCACAAAGGCAGGTCCTAGCAACTTCCAAGCCCTTTGCCGGGCTCCACCCCCAGAGATGTGCCCTCATCCTTCTTAAAGGCACGGCGCTCCAATTCCCGTGTCCAGCTGAATATCCAGCCCGCAGCATTAGTGCTCAGTCCTCCAGGCTTCGTTTTCTCTCCCTTGGGTGGCAACATTGACTCTACCAAATCCTTTAGGCAAGAGAGACCCAGGCTCTATGCTCTGCAGCTTGTGGATGCAAGAACTGACATCTTCTGTCATGGACCAAATGTGTCTCCCCTACCCCCAAATTCATATGTTGAGGCCCTACCCCTCAGTGTGATTGGTATTAGAAGGGGGGGGCCCTCGGGGAGGTAATTAGGTTTAGATGCGGTCTGGAGGGTGGAGACCCCATCGTGGGATTAGGGTCCGAAGAAGCAGTCAGACCAGAACTTTCTCTTGCCGCCATGTGAAGACACAGAAGGCAGCCCGGTGCCTGCGAGCCAGGAAACGGATCCTCGACCAGGAGCCAAATTTGCCAGCACCTTGACCTTGGACTTCCCAGCCTCCAGAACTGAGAGAGATAAATGCCTCTAGTTTCTAAGCCACTGGGTCTATGGTATTCTGTTAGAGCAGCCTGAGCTAAGACAGCCTCTCAGATGCTCAGAAGGAGAATCTGCAGAGATTTGGTAACCCAAACAGCACTGCAGAGGTCAGACGTGCCAAGCCCTGTTTCTCAGGGTGGAAGGGGCAGGCAAAGAGAACTGTCATCTCTGTGAAGGCCGCCTTTGGCCCTGATCTCTGGCTGTCACCAAGCTGAAGGGCAAGTGTTGGAATCCAGGGCTCCCAGTATGGATCTGACGAAAGACGGTTCCAGAAGAGGTGAATATTCCCAAGTAATAGTGGGCTATGGAATTCCAGACAGGTGCAAAATTCCAGACAGGTGCGAAGTGAAAGTTAGACCCAGGCACTTGTCCTGTCTTTGCCACGAATAGCTGTGCAGCCTTGGGAAATCACTGCTCCTCTCTGAACTTGGGTTATTTCATCTCCCACCTGAGGATAAAACCTGGTCCGCTCCACCTTCTTCAAGGAGGGCTGTAATCTGACATATATGAAGGCAATTTGAAAAAAATGTAAATAGAAAGATGAATTTTTTTTTTTTTTTTTTTTTTTTTTGCGAGAGAGAGAGCACGCTTAGTTAGCCCTGGAGAAACCAAGAAAGGCTTCAGGGAGGAGGAACCAAGGAGGAGCCAAGTGGCCTGGGCAGATGCCATTCATAATGACAGTTTCACCTGGGCCAAGGCCAAGGCAGAGAGTTCCTATGTGAGATCCCGGGAAGAGACAGGGACACTAGGAGGCTGAGTCAGAGGGGTGGATACACAGAGGCCCACAGCACCACAGACAGATCCCTAGCCCGGTGGAGCCAGGGTAAGAGGCTCAAGTCAGCATCGCTGAGCCTAGAGCCCAGACCAGGTAAGGGTAGAATCTGCTTACAGATAGCTCCAGAGTAACTAAGCCTTCCAGGGGAGCCATGGATCCCCGGCCTATAGTTTTGGCTCAGTGTCACAGGCCATGGGATGTGGGGCACGTGGGATGAGCCTATTGACTGGAAGGACCAGGTGAAGTGCAGACAGTCAGGAGGATTTCAGGATGTGGAGAGATCCTGGGTGATGGGCGCGAAGGGAGTGGGCTCAAGTTCCAGCAATGGTATGGTGACATGACAGGCCCGGGCTGGGAAGACAAAGTCTGGAAATGTGCCCAGTGTCACGTGGGCATATTTGGCGAGGGTGGGGGTCAAAATGAAAAGCAAGGATGGAAAACCAGGTAAGGCCAGGGCTTGATGCCCACCAAGAAATGTGGACTTTTTCCTGCAGGCAATGCGGGGCCATTGGCTGGGTTTTGAGAATATCTTCATAGGGCTGGTTCTGTGCGACAGTGTGGGAAACTCAAGGCAAAAATGACAATTTGGCAAGAAGTAACAGAGAGAATTACTAGAGCAGAGGTTGTAGAGAATAAAGGACACCGGGGTGATTGGCTCCATAATCAATTGCCACCAAGTAGTGACACCTCTGAAAGGACTTTTCTTGTTCTGGGAGCTTCTACCATTTCTGCCCCCTTCCTAACAGCGCTCAGGTTTCCTTTTGAGGCATCAACTCCTCCCAAATACAGCCTGACAGGGCCTATCCCTGGCTCAGGAGCAAGCCTGTGCCTCTGGCTGGGCCCATCTGCAAGGCCTCCCTGGAACCCGAATCTCCAGCAGAATGAAACGAAAAAGGTGAAGGGTAGGATTCTGCCCTCCCGTGCACTCTGTCCACCATAAGGCCATTCTTGTCTATCTTGCTTCTTAGGCCTTGGAGTGGCCCAGATTCCCACCTATTTCCAAGCCTGGCTCTTCAGACTTCTATCAATTCTGTAAAAATCTGGTATTCTTCAAAGAAATTCTTCGTGGCCAGGAAAACTAAGCTACTTACAACAGAGAGATCCTAACTGAGCGACCAGCCTCAGGGATCCACTTCCAGCCTCTGTGCTTTGGCTCTTTTCCTTTCATATCCTGACTTCTTCCCCAGTGGGACCTGGCCTTAGCAGCCCAAGACCAGAGAAGGAAAGCCCAGGGTTGGGGTTCTAATTGTGCCCATTGCTTAACCGTCCTTGAGGTGTAGAAGGAAAATCATGTACCCACCAGCAGCCCCCACTCCTTAGTTAAACAGAGTAGAGAAAGAAGCTCCTAAAGATGGGCAGAAAAAAACAGTACTTCTCAAAGCCAGGCATCCTGTTAGGGGGCAGACTGCATGGCTGGGTCTGGGGCTGGGCCTGGAATTCTGCGTTTTTGACCTGGACCCCATTGAGGGAGGTGCTCCCGGTGCCCGGCTACTTGCATACTTTGCCAGCAAACTCTACATGGTGTGCACCAGGTGGCAGAGAAGGCAATTTAGCAGATCTCTGGTAATCAAATGGCTGTTTGAGTAGAGTCCCTGGGGTGAAAGCCAGGTTACCGTGAGCTGAGAGGGGTGGGTGTTGGAGGGAGAGGAGATGACAGAGGGGGTAGAGCTCCCGGCCTGTGACATCACCTGCCCACCTCAGCGTGTCGGAGGGCCGTGCTTCTCAGAGGAGTGCCCTGGAGCAGTACGTAGCCATGTTCGTCAGGGAGGACAGAAACATGGAAGCCTGTCCGTCTCTTGCTCCCTCTGCCTCTTGCTCTCCCAGGGTCAACCCTGCTGCGCCTAATGGGTGTCAGGCATGGCGGCCCCTCCTCAGCTCATTCGGTGTTCCTGGCCTCTGAGGGGTTCCCACTCTTTTCCTTCCTTCTCCCGTCCTAGCCCGTGCTTCCTCTTCCTCTTCATCATCTCCGAGAACACTTTCAAGTAAAAGAGAGGATGTAGACAGGGTCAAGTCATTCCATTTCTCTGCTCAAAACCCTCCAATGGCTCTCACGTAACTCAAACCCAAATCCTTACAAAGGCTTCCAATGCCTCACGTGACTTGACCGCCCATTTATCTCCAACCTTATCTCTTTCCATTCTCTGCCTCACACAGGCCTCCCGGCTCTTCCTCACACACATGACACGGGTTACACCTTAGGGCCCCTACATTTGTGCCCATGGTGAATCTCCTCATCTCCTTTACATCTTTGCTTAAGTCACCTTCTTCACACGAAAACTCAAACACGAATGTTCATAGCAGCACTATTCACTGTCACCAAAAGGCGAAACCAACCCCAGTGTCCATCAACAGATGAACGGATAAACAAAATGTGGTGTATCTATACAGTGGAATGTTCTTTGGCCCTAAAGAGGAATGAAGTATTGATACATGCTACAATATGGATGAACCTCGAAAACATTATGTGACATAAAGGACATAAAAGGCCACATGTGTTGTGATTCCATTCATAGGAAATGTCCAGAATGGGCAAACTATAGAGAAAGAAAATGGATCGGTTGCCTAGTGCTGCAGGGAGGGAGGAATGGGGAATTTACAGCTAATGGGTATAGTGTTTCTTTTTGGAATGATGAAATGTTCTAAGATTGATTGAGGTAGTTGGGTGCACAAGTCTACCTACAACTAGTTTTCAGTACATGCATTTTAAATGGGTGTATGGTATGTGGATTATACCTCAATAAAGCTCTTACCCAAAAAAGTCACCCTCTCCGTGGTCCTGTCCTGACCACTGGATTACAAGCCCCCTCCCTCAACTAGCTTCTTCAGTCTCTTGTGCCCTGCTCTACTTTTTCGCAAGGCTTAATACCTTCCAACAAACCATGCAGTTCCTTTTTTTTTTTTTAACTTATTTTTTGTTTCTTGTCTCTCTCCCCCACTGCAACGTAAGCTTCAGGAGGGGAAGGAGTTTTTCCTTTCTCTTTGGTTCCCTGATGTGTAGTGTCTAGAAGAGAGCTGGGACTGCAGTAGGTTAGGTACTCAGTAAGTACCTGCTCAGTGAAGGAAAGAGCAAGCACGAGAGCTCTAGGGAAGAAGCCTGGGGCTGAAGACGTAGCAGATGCCCAGTTCCCGCCTGCCGCTGGATCAGAACACAGCAGTCGAGAGGAAGTCGGAGGGCGTGCTTTGCTCCACAGATTTCGCACCCACCACCTCTCCTCACTCTATTGTTTTCCACAGTTGCGGATGGTAGCAGCCTCCTGCGGGAGGCCACGGAAGAGCGGTGGCCACAAACTCCCACAAGGCTGGGGCCATCGGACGGCAGCGAGCAGCCACCACCCAGAGACCTGCCTGCGCCTGAAATGTGCAGCTCTGCACTTAAAAAAAAACAACTGTGGTAAAATATAACATAAAATTTGCCATTTTAAGCATTTTAAAGTGTAGTGGCATTTGAAGTTCAGTAGCATTAAGTACATTCACTGTTACATAACCGTCACCACCATCCGCCTCCAGAACATTTTCATCATCCCAAACTAAGACTCTGAACATGTTAAACACGAACGCCCCTTTCCCTTCTCCCCCAGTCCCGGGCAACCAGCATCCTACTTCCTGTCTCTAGAAATTTGGCTGCTTTAGGCACCTC